TTGTAAAACAATAACAAGCTGAGCTTCACTGTGAAAAATGTCAAACTGACATCAAGAAATGTATTTAGAAAAACACTAAAATTCAACATTAAATTCAAGAAAACTAACTTTTTGTCATCAGATTTTACTGCAGTTAACTATTGCATTGAAAATATAAATACTGAATATAAAATGTAGTTTATGGAACTTACATTGAATCTTATAATTATTGTAGAAATGATGCACGACTGATAGTTTTCAAATTAAGGTTTTAAGTTCCACCTGCAGCACTCCAAAGTACCATTTTTTTATTGTTATAGCTGTATAACATGTGTACAGATGAAGACATCCATTTTGGTTGGTTATGACATAATACATCATATTAAATTGTTTTCATTATAAAAAAAGTGCATCTCTTGTATTTTGTAATAACCACAAAATGTATTACACATTGCATTCATGCTGTTTATTACACAATGCGGTTTTATTACATAATGTGTTGTTACATTATGTTTTGCAGACACAGACTCAGAGGTAAGATGATGAAGATGGATTGGATCAGATTAAAAGATTCAAACAAGGTTTTTATTGATTTATCTGACTTAAGTAGTAATAATAGTACAATTAGTACAACAAGAAGTAATAGTAGTAGTATAAGTGGCAGTTATTAGTAATATTATATATGGCATTAGATCAGTACAGTGTACCTTATTGTCTTCTAGCAGCAGTAGCACTACTAGTAAAAGCACTTTAGTCACATTGTTGTGATTACGTAATTTTCACTTCCTCGTCTTCTGAGAAAAAAATGTAATACAGAAAGACATTAAGTGTAAATATGTTTTACTTCATTATTCTAGATATAAGATGCTATGATTTAATGAGGAAACAGAGAGAAGTGTAACAACATCACTCATTCAGCCTCTTTTTCTTGTTCCACTAACGTTCAGTATGAAAGAACATTTCACTCAGATAGTCCAAAAGAGGAACACAAAGTATTTACATAAGGAAGGAAGGTTTTTAATATACAAGAGAGCAAAGTACATTGTTACTGTACTTATGTAGTTTACATTTTACACAAATATCTGTCCTTTCTGCTCCTTACATTTTCAAAACAGGCTTGTTACTTTACCGTTTATACATTTTAGTTGAATTATGCATTTATTACTTTATTTTAGCATCATTGCACAACCTCCAAACATCGAGGCTGGTGCATATTGTTCATAACAGACGTAATGTGACGAAAACAGACGAGAAAGGGAAAATTGTCCTTCAGAGAAACCAGTCCTTTTTTTACTTGTACTGTCAATAATTAGTATTTCTACTTTCACTAAAGTTTCTATACTTCTACTTAAATAAAGAGTGTGCATACTTTTGCCACGTCTGCAACAGAAAGAGTAGTGGGCCGAGGGTGATTCTCTGAGGGACCCCAGAGTTTGACAAACTGAAGTTTGGCCTGATGATGGCGCTGGAGGAAAAGTCGGTGGATCACCAAAGTTTTTACAATTTATCCACAAAGTAACTTGAATATTTGTAGCAGGTTTTACAGCAATCTGTCTCATAGTGGTCAAGATAAGGATTGCTATCCTTAGACCCACGCTGCTAGCATGCTAGCAAAATATCAGCTTTTTGGACCTCGTCTGCATCACATTTTAACACTTTGAAGCAGTTAATGTTGCATGAGTACTTTTATTTTTGATACTTTAAGTACAATTTGCTGGTGTACTTTTACTGAAGTTGGATTTTTAATGCAGGACTTCTTTCATTGTGCTTGAAGATCTGAGCACTTCCTGAAGACTGTCAGACAAACTAAAATAAAAAGGGAAAATTGGACAGGCATAGATTAACAAGAATTCACAGTTGGAGGGACAACGTCTAAGAACTCTGATTCAGTTCTGAGGATGAGGAAATCTTTGCTTCTTACTCTGAATTTGAAATAAAGGAAGTTCTGCATGTTTACTTCCGAGTATGCAATATGTTCGTAGAAAGGCTGCTGAGAGATGAGGAAGTGAAAACAGAAAAAGAAAACAGCAGAGCTCGACAAAAGCATTAAGCACACAGGAAAAATCTTCTTTTTCCACACTATCTGGTGATATCATATATGCTTTATATTGAAACTGCTGCAGTCAGACAGACTTTGAACTGAACTAAAGAACACAAACTCTCAATATATACAAAGATAATGACTGGCATTGTACATGGTTAGTTCAAGTGTAGCATACTAGAGTCGAGTATCGGTACACATATTGTTACATAATGTTGTAGTTAAAAAAAGGCCTGTTTTAGAGCAAAAGGTTGAGCTTCTATGCCACGCCACGGAAACACTGTTTGACAAAAACCTCAAGATTTTGATAAGATTTCATCATGAACTTCTTTAGAGCGCACCCATCAAATTTAAAGTCGATCTGATCAAGTCCCTAGGAGGAGTTTGATCAAATATAAGGCCTGGAAATGGCAGAAACTGCAAAACAAAACATTTGCCGCGTCACGATGGCCACAGCGGTCAGCGAAAACTCCCAAAATTCAAAACATGTCATCATCAACTTCTTAAGGGTCTTCTGACCAAACTTCAGCTGGATTTAGATCCACCTGCTAGAAGTAGTACATAAAAGTATAAATAATGTTATATATTTATATATAATTTCTGCTCTGAAGATGAGGGAACGTGTTCGGTGCTTTTTGGTGCAGATTGGATGAAGAACACTGAAGTTATCATCGACAGAGCAGAGCTGCACTGTAATAAACATTAACTCCACAGTTATGTTGCACAATCGATTTAGATTAAAAACATTTGACACAGTGCTGAAGACATCTGACATCAGAGGACTCAGTTCCCTGTAATTCCAAAAACATAAAATACTGTAGTAAAAGTTGCGTATAGAGGAAACAATGAATGAACTGTGACGTTTAAACATGAAGTTTGTGTTCATGGAAGAAATTTGTGTTCCCAGTGGAGGAGGAAGTATTGATATTGTAGAAATATTCTATTACAAGTAAAAGTACAAAAGTATAAGAACTATAAAAAATTAAAAAGTACTTATATGCAGAATGTCCCATTTCATAATAAACACGAGTTAAGGTTACATGTGATTATCTTATAGAATATGACGCTTTGCTGTTGTTTAAACTAACCACCAATATATAAAGTAGTTAAAATTAGCTCAACTTTAAACATCTACACATTAATGCAGCGATAATATTTATCCAGAGACATCAGACATACAAGTGAAACACTGACAGCGAACACTGATTTTCATACTTTAAGTTTAACCCTTCTGTCTGTAAACTGATGACTCCGATTCATTATTACCACCTAGAGGCTGATTTTGGTATGTAGGGAGATATATATATGGTCAAAAGTTAGTGGACATTTAGATTAAAGTTTTAAAGACTACATTGTCATTTTTATTCACATTTAAAGGAACCGTCTGCCCCTCCACTTCATTTTGTTTTTGTTGTTTACAGTTTACTGACTTTAAACACACCTAACAGTTTGAAAAATCATCAGATCGGTGGAGTCTCAAACTCAATTTCTTTGTATTTTTATATCAAAATCCAACCATTTTCTTCCATAAGCATGAACTAACTGATTTCAACCAATCCTGACATTCACCCGTCAATCAATCTTCAACTTTTAGCCACACAGAGTGAAGAAACAGGAAATAACAAAGAGACGGCGCTAATAAAAGGACATATTTAACATATGTCCTACTGTATATTACTGGGGGACATCCCTACACAGCCTGTTGTACACAGACTGCTTCACACATCACTTAATAATTAACTCTTCTACACCCCAGTGTAGAAATAATGTGTTATAGTAATGACTCATTTCACAATCATATATATTATTGGATTATAATTATTGATGCATTAATCACTTTAATGTGAATTAGTTTTTCATTACTTTACTTATTGCTGCGTAGCTTGTGAGTTTATTTGTTGGTTATATTTTCTACCATTAAATCAAAACCTGGAGAGTTTTAAAGTAAATGTAGTAGAAGTAGAAAATAGCAGAAAAAGGAAATACTTCATTAAAGAACAATTAACTCAAAGTTAAACTTGAGTAAATGTGGTTTTCCACCACCAGAAGTAAAGTTCTTCCACATCCTGAAGTTTGCACATCGCCTACAGATGGGAGATTGACCATCTGGTGACGTGGTGCAGCCAGAACAACCTGGAGCTAAACCCTCTGAAAACAGTGGAGATGGTTGTGGCTGACCCCTGCCACCCCGGTCACAAACTCTTTGAACCTCTCCCCTCTGGCAGTAGGCTGCGGTCCATCAGGACCAAAACCTCTCACCACAAAAACAGTTTCTATCCGTCTGCAGCCTCATTAATAACTGTCACTGACTCTTATACCCACTCTGTATATATAAATTACATTAATGCAATCCTGTTTTCTGCAGTTTTCTTTCTTTCTATCTATCTATCTTTATTCATTTATATTTTAAAAATACGATTTGTATATTTTATGCACCAATTGCAGACAAATTCCTTGTAGGTTTAAAAACTTACTTGGCAATAAACCTAATTCTGATTCTGACAAAACTGTGAAAACACGACAAATTAAATCAAATGCACATTAATATATTTACATTTTGGAAGAAAAAACAACAACCAGAGTTTAATTTTAATCTTTTTATTGGTTAGGTCATCCTAATTCAATTCAAATAATTAAATTAAAAGTTATTTTAAATATCGTCTTCAAAGAGCAAAAAGCGTAACTGAAACCAAAAACTCATTCACACACACACACACACACACACACACACACACACACATCATTTAAAATATGAAAAAACAAAAGAACAAATCAAGATTCTTCCTAAAAACACTCAAATCACAAAGTCAAATGATAATAATTGAAATGAAAACACAAACTATACACAACTGAACCTATGAATCTTTAAAGAACTGGTGCAACTTGGGCCAGAACAAACACACCGGTGCACTCGTTTATGTTTCTCCCGTCAGGTGAGCCGTCAGTCCGTCTTTCTGTTGCGTTCATGTCGCTGAATCTCTTCTGGGGCTTCCCAGCGCGTTCTCCAGGGGCCGAGCGAGGGCTGTGATTAGATGTGGGTGGGTGTCAGCAGGTAAGGCCGGTCAAGATCGTGGCTCCTTGTTTTTTTTTGTTTAGAAACCAAAGGTGTTCTCGCCGCTGTAAGCCACGTATAAAAAGCCGTCCTCGTCCTTCTCCTTCTCGTACAGCTGCCCCATCGTGATGCTGAAACAGACGTTCAGGACAGCCGATCAATCACACACAGCTGATCAATAACACCAGCCGATCACATCCTGTCTTCTCACTGTCAAGATATCAGCAGTTAACCTATTGACTTACATCGTGTATCACATAGAGCTCCACTAAAACTATTAAAAGCACTGATTAATGATGAGTTGAGCTCAGACGATGTTTATCTCTCAATATTTTAATATATTCAGGAGTATATATTTTATTTATATTTCGACCAATCAGAGCCGAGGAACAGATTTAAAGACACTTTGAGTTTGAAGAAGATGCCATTAGGAGCCACTAGGAGGAACCAGAGGAACCAGAATTTTTCAATAAACATGAGAAAGAAATATTTTAATAAAAATGTTAGACTGCAGAAGTTTGAGTTTTGACCCACTGAGGTTGCTGTAGCTGCTCGCTGTCCACACAAACTCTTATTATTGTATAATTTCAACCACATTTCCCCCAAAATTTAGTCGGATATATTTGGAAAATCTTGTGCTGTGAATGTTTGTTTGGCTGTATGTGTAACAGATTCTTGTCTTTAATCTGTGAATTTTATTTATTATTGATTATCTCGTTGATTATCTCATTGATTATCTCATTGAGTTAGCTGTTGAAAGTAAATTGTGTTGAAAATGCTGTTGTGATATTTTGTTTACTTGCTGAAGTTGAACTGTTGAAGTTACAACCTTTATTATTTCATTTTGTTTATTATTGATATAATTTCGTTATCATTTTCTTCCGTTTTTGAACGTTAATATTTAAGTTTTGTTGATGTTTCTGTTTACTCTGCCCAGCAGCTGTCACTGTTTAACCTATTATATATTGTTTTTCATGGTTTTAACAGGTTACAGTTGTGAGTCATGCAACAGTGTGTAATGATTCAATGATTCACAGAAACTATGACTGGAGTTTCTGTATTATTCTCCACCAGGTGTGGCTCCTCTCGCCCAGAGGACACGTTCCTCGCTGCTCCCACTGCTCCGAGTCACTCTCTGTGACGAGGCTAAAAATACAGGCTGAAAGTGCTGAGTAATGGCTGCTCAGAGAGGAGTGTAACTGCAGCTCCACCTGGACTTTCCCATCGTTGAATCAGCCTCAATATTTAGTCCAAATGACACATGAACTCGTGCTGTGGACACTTTTGTTCCCAGTGTTATTCTCTAGCTCATATTTTCCTTCAACCTGACCAACAGTTCCTCACTTCAGCCTCCTTTAAATCGGCTTTTATTAAATGTACGCCATAAAAAGCAGCACTGACCACACATGAAAATGAAGAACATGAGATAAGAAGCCACATTGAGACACTTTATCCACTTCCTGCTGATAAAGTCATAAAGGTGATTTGACTAGTTTTACATCAGCAGCTGTAGACGAGCATGAAGCCACTGTAGAGTCCTGACAGCACATCGTTACAGAGCCAATTACACAGTAAGGTAGCAGTTTAACTTCAGCTGCAATCAGTTGACTCATCGACTGAAAGAACATTACGCTTCCTAAACGTTCAGATTCACAGATTTTCTTTGTCAAATGATGAAATATCTTTTGGTTTTTGACTGTTTGTCGGACAAATGAAGCAATTTGAAGACGTTACTCGTTAAATTGGATTATCTCCTTGTGGTCTGGAAGCAAAGGTTCCTATGTCCCGCCCCTTGTTGCTCTCTGCTCCAATAACAGTTGAGGTAGCCTCGGTCAACTTCCTCCTTCACTGTGCTATGTGCTTTATGCTAAGCTAATCTATGTTGAAAGACAAACCACATTTTGAAGCCACGTATAAATCGTCACAGCTGAAGTTAGCAAATGTTAACAAAACACTAGCTAAGTAGCTAGCAGAACTACAGCAATCAATCAATCAATCAATCAATCAATCTAGTTACATTTGATAGCTAATGTAAGCTAAATGTGAGCTAATGAGCTAGCTAACTCTCTGTATAAGAAATAATTTGAGGACCTTTGCTCACAAATTGTCCCATAAATTTACCAGTCGGTCTATTATTGACACATTTTCCCAGTTTTATTCCTCCTTTCTTGTTTAATTTCCTCCAGTTTAACATTACTTTAGCAACAGCCTGTTAATAACAGTTCAAATTAAGTAGAATTTATTTAATATTTCATATAAATTCTCTTCTCACCTATTAGTCTAATAAAAGAAGAAGTAGAAAGTGTTTGTTGCGCGTACAACTAACATGTGGATGTATTTATTAACCACAACAACACATTTTTCTAACCCTGATATTAGTTAACATAAAATGTAGCTTTTATTTTGAAATGTGGTTCCTTTTAACATAGATTACAGGAAGTACAGGAAAGGAGGAAGCTGACCGAGGTTCCTTAAAGAGTCAACTGTGAATCCACGCTGTGACTAAAACCCCCGCCGGTGACCCGACCCTGACCTGGACTGAGGCACCGTCTTGTCCACGAACAGGAAGATGGCTTTCTCTGAGGGCAGCTGGATGCGTTTCCTGATGATCCACATGAACTGAGCCACTGTGATGTCGGAGGGGACCAGATACTTCCTCTTGTCGATGTCCACGATCTGTGATCCAGAGACCTTCTCCACGATCACCTGAACACACACACACACACACACACAAAAAAAAAAAAAAAAAAAAACATAGCCACACACACACACACACACACACACACACACACACACACACACACACACACACGATTATAGCCGATGTTCAAGCTCTCAATCAGCTGTAACATCACAGGAACGTCACCCACCGGGACCCTGTCAGGGTACTTGTTGCGGATTTTGGCTGACTCTATGCATCGATGTTCTGGAAGACAAAAAGCAACATTTGTGTTAATTGTGTGGTTTTTTTTGTTTTACATGACAACAGAAATACACAACAGGGGTCATTGAGAGGGTTGTAGGGCAGCGGTCCCCAACCTGGGGATCAGGATCAGGGTGTTTATGAAGGTAAAATGTAGTCCTGTAGTCCTGCAGAGACGACCTGGTTCTGATCCTGTTTGATAAAGACCTCGACAATGTCACATTTCACGCACGATTTTAATTGATTTTTTGGGGAAAATGTAATTTGTGATGCCAAAAATAAGGATTCACACACTTATTGTGAATATCACGATCAATATCTGTCAAAATAATCACAATATAATGTTTTTACCACAGCGCACAGCCCTAATGTTAAGATGTGTAAGGAAACAACTCAAAAAGGAAGTATGACTGTTAAAAATGATTAAGAAATACATAATACGAACAGAGAATCTGCTCAAAAATCACTCGTTTTATACAAACTTTAGTTTAAAAACAAAATAAAAATGACAGTAAAAGGGTCCCTCAAGGAGAAAGGTTGTCTGTTCTGACTGTAAATGATTGTGTGGATCCTGCAGAGAGGGTTTTATATATAGTTATAGAGGTATAATATATATAATATATAGAGGTCGTTCACATGAACACACGACGTTTGAGAACTCCTGTCTTAAGGTAACTCTGACCGACCGGTGATGGACAGCGATCAATAGGTTACGTCTGAGGTCTGACATTCACAGGAAGCTGCTGTGGATTAAGACCCTGAACATCAGCAGTCGTCGATCCAAACACTTAAAATGTGATCATTAACAGCGCGGCAGCTTCTGCACCGAGTTACCGATGAGAACATCGGCCGGTTGTTGAAACCGTAACTGCACAAGATGATCAGTTAGACTATTAAATGTCAAAAAGTCACAAAAAAACAACCTCACAGAGCCAAAAGTGACAGATTCTAGTTACATAATGTGTCCCACCAGCAGCCCAAAACCCAAATATATTTAATTTACCATCATATAAGACAGTGGTTCCCAACCTAGGGGTGGGCAGCCCCATTATGGGTCGCAGTTTGAAGGTTTAAAGGCGTACAGTGGAGCTTATATCTCAGCATCTGGTTCACTACAAAGTAAATGTAAACTGTCTAACAGGCGTCAGGGACAAGAAAACACAGAATTTATCAGAAAAGAAGCATATGAAGTCTTTATGATTGTTAAATAATATAAATAAATACATAACACAGACAGAGAGTTCCACAAACAGGAAATAATCTGCTCCTTTTACACAAACTTCCTGCAGTTATAATATTAAATATAAAGTTTTACATTATCCTGCCACACAATAAAATAAATCCCTCCACCTCCCCTGAGTTGTTCCTACAACCGGGGTCAAAGGTCAGTCTGAACCTGTTAGCGAGGGGATTAATCAGCTCTTCTTAAAAAGGCAATAAACACACAGCGTCACTACACTGATTATAATTTAAAGTTTTATTCTTTCTTTTGATTTAATATAGTAAATGTAAGCCTCTAGGACTCCTAAACAATCTGAGTGGGTTGTAGAAGGTCAGCAGTAATTTATGATCCTAGTTTAATTATTGATTGATTATAAAAGAGAGAATTTGCTGTTTTTCTCTGATTTATTGGACTTAAAATATTAAATATTAAATATATTAAAAGATGAACAATTTCAGGAACATTTTTCCACTATTTCTTATTTTATTATTATTATTATCTGACAGTGAAAACACATCTAGTTGCAGTCTTGGTAGTAATAAACACAACCCAGCTACAACATCCTCTTTTTAACAGGAAGCAGAGGGGTTTCTGGGTAATGTAGTCTTATCACTAACAATAACAGTGCCAGAGAGAGAGAGGCCGTATGCTCGTTTGTTTTACTCTTTTAATGGTAAAAAGTGCAAAACTTTTAAAAGACAACATTATTCCTCAACAGCAGCGTGTAACCTGAGTTAATTATTATATAGAAATGAGCCCTGAAGTGTTTTTAAAGTGTAAAAAAAAAAAAAAAAAGGAAACACTAGTTGATAGCATCAGTTAGCTTGTGACTGTCAACAGGAAGTTAATTCAGATTATGGTTTGAGTAATGTGATCCGAGGCGGTGAAAATAGCTGCTGTGTTTTAGTTTTAAATGCATGAATACAAAGAGTGTCTCATGTGTTTTATATTGAATAAACAGAACTGATCAGAGACAGTCAGCTGTTATAAAAGGAGCCACTGACTCCTGGAAGCATGGCAGCTCTTTAATTGTGTCATTAAAGTTAAATTTATTGACACAAAAAAAAACAACCTCATAATTAATCCTATAAACAGACTAAAAGATGGGATGTAACACCAGCCTGCAGGCCTAAACAACTTCTGGTCCTGGTGAGGCCTCTGAGGCCTAAAGTCAGCAGCAAGAGGAGATAATATATAAAATAAAAGCTTCATAAAAGAGTAAAACAATCACAGTTTATCATCCAGCTGTTAACTAACTGTAACTCAATGCAATAATGGAGGTTTAACAGCTTAATGAGCCTCCACCTTGATGGTCGTCGTCGGGCTGTTTTCCCCCATAAAGAACAAAGACACGGTGGTTTATATAATCCACACAGACACAAACAGGCTGGATCTAAAGTGCAGATTCATTATTTCACTTTACATTAACTGACATTAACTGCTTTTTATTTTATCCTCTCTGCAAACAAAAAGCCTTAAATAATAAAAAAAAACAGGCCAGTGTTTGTGGCTGTCCGCACTTTAAAGTGAAAGGAGGGAGATTATATCAACATTAAACACACAATTCTGCTTTAAAAATAAAACCCTAAATATTTAACCTTATGAATTAACCTGCGTAGACATTTTGTTTTTCTTTAATCTGTCTCCCATTAAAACACCTCCCTCCTCCCTTACCCAAGGAGTGATCCTCTTTGAACATCCATTTCATGTTTCCGGGCTGTTTCCGCTCGATGCAGCAGACTGTGAAGGCGACTCTGGGTTCGTTAGAGGGAGGTAATCTCTTTCTTTCGGGTCTCCGGTACCGTTAAACTGTCGGTTTTAACCGGACAAGCGGCGCCGCGGCTCTCAGCAGTAACAACAACAAACAAACAAACAGCCTCCTCTTCACCATCAGCCCGCTGACACCGGACGGTTCCACTCCGCCGCTGACAGCAGGGGGGAGCGACGAGCACAAACCGGACGCTTTCACTTTAAACTCCTGAAATTATTGAGATTAAAATGCGTTAATATCAATTGTTTTTTATATTGCGTTTATTGTCGACATTTATAGCAACTGTCTGTATTTTACATGGCAACCTTTTTGACAGGGTTCCCCCTATTGGTTATGTTGGTTCCTACCGACAGTTCCTCCCTCTGTGCAGAACATAAACATACAGCACTTTAAAGGCTGCAGCTAACTGATCATTATCGATCTGTTGATCATCTTTTGGAAAATTAGGAGAATAAAGTCATAATATTAGGTCTACGAGAATAAAGTCGAAACATTACGAGAATAAAATCATAATATTGAGAGAATAAAATCATAATATTGAGAGAATAAAATCATAATATTGAGAGAATAAAATCATAATATTACGAGAATAAAATCATAATATTGAGAGAATAAAATCATAATATTACGAGAATAAAATCATAATATTGAGAGTATAAAATCATAATATTGAGAGAATAAAATCATAATATTATTGAAAGAATAAAATCATAATATTACGAGAATAAAATCATAATAATATTGAGAGAATAAAATCATAATATTGAGAGAATAAAATCACAATATTGAGAGAATAAAATCATAATATTACAAGAATAAAATCATAATATTGAGAGAATAAAATCATAATATTACGAGAATAAAATCATAATATTGAGAGAATAAAATCATAATATTGAGAGAATAAAATCATAATAATATTGAGAGAATAAAATCATAATAATATTGAGAGAATAAAATCATAATATTGAGAGAATAAAATCATAATATTACGAGAATAAAATCATAATATTGAGAGAATAAAATCATAATAATATTGAGAGAATAAAATCATAATATTACAAGAATAAAATCATAATAATTGAGAGAATAAAATCATAATATTGAGAGAATAAAATCATAATATTGAGAGAATAAAGTAGTAATTTTATGAGAACTGTCTGTTTGGCTCAGCCAGGTACGACGGAATATTAGGGCCAGACTTTTTTGGCGGGGAAATTACGAGAATAAAGTCGTAATTAGCTCCCAACATGCTATCATGACGTGGTTGGCACCAATGGATGCGTTAGGTCATCTAGTTTCTTCACTTTAGCTTTAAAACAGAGCCTGTTACAACCTCTGAGACGGAGTGGCAAATCAGATTTCAGGGCCAAAATCTTACATAATGTTGCTTTAATAAGAGGCTCAGCAACATTTTGCCCAGTGGCCCCGAAGTAAGTTAATCAGTTCATGAACCTGCAGGCAGAGTTTTTAGTTTTTAATCTACAGAACCCAAAATCCCAAATCCCAAATTGGCCTCAGAGGGTTTTACAGCATTGGACACCCTTAAAGAGACAAGAAGAGAGAGAGGTTGATGTCATATGAGCAGAATAAAAACAGTAAACTTCTTGGTAGTCCAATGTAAAGTTTTAATATGACCACCGGCATTAATATAGTTTAGGCTTTAGTATCTAAATAAAATTAAGTTCAAGACATTGTTATCTAAATAGGTTTATTTCAGCTTCAGTAAACATAAAGCGTTTTATAAAATCTCATCACGTTGGCACTAATTGGCACTGTTTTCCCCGGAGGACGGAGCCGTGATCTGGTTGTCAGGCGGCAGCGGTTTCCCCAGATGGTGCCCCGTCGTGAGGCCGTAGGGCTGCGACTCTCGCTCCTCCTTCGCTTTGGGCCGCAGCATGAACCCCCCCTGAAAGCTGAGGTCAAAGAGCTCACAGGGGGCAAAGGTCAAAGGCTTTTCTGCCAACAGTCCCTTCAGTCGAGCTCGCCACCCGTCCAGCATCGCGGTTCGCACCGTGGGGGGGCAGTGAGCCGGACTCCAGAATATCTGAGGAGCAAAAACCTGAAACCCACAGAAGTGCAGAGTGCCGTTCTGAAAGAAACAAACAGAGAGACAATATCTAATTTAATATTTAATGATTGATTCATTAGATTACAGATCAGAGAGAGACACTGGAATCATTTGATGATCACCAATTAATTAATTAATAAGTACTATTAATTAAAATGTAATGATAAAGTAACTGCTGCAAAATGTAGCTGCTGTTAGCTCATTAGCTTAGCAACACTGGAGAGTAACTCCTTATTGTCTTCAGAGGACTCTCAGTTTTTACTTTACTTATTTTACTTATTTATTGTGTAATAGCATTATACATATATATATGTACTTTTGTTTTTATTGTGTTGTGTGTTGTAAAATAGTTGGTTTTTATTGGACTTCTGTTTTCATGTGTTTTAACATCCAAACAGCACTTTGCTGACCCCCAGTGGGGGTAGTCAAAGCTTTGGTTTTGGCTTTGAGTTGTGAGGCCTTGATTTTAAAGAGTGTAAGAAAGGGTTTATATATATATAATAATATATATACAAACAGGACTTTATCTCAGCATTCCATAAATTAAATAGATATTTTTAAAAATGAAATTATTTTTTATAAAGAAGAAAACACCTATTAAAAAAAAAGAAGCCTATTAACTATTAATTAATTAATTAATTAATTAATAGGTATAACTGTAATAACTCATAATATAGAAACAGAATTTAATAAAAAGTTCCTAGAAATATCAATAACACTGATCTCTGATGGGATATCCACAACCCTGATCAAAGTTACTGCCTTATAAATAAATTATAATCATTATTAATATCTTTGCATTTGCTATGATAGAATATTTCTCTGTGTATTGATTTTAATACTGTAGAAGAAACACAGGCAGAAAATGACTTCTTCCTCATTCCTAATCAACATATATATTAATATATGTGTCTTATATGTGTCTCTTACCTGTAGAGGCCACAGTGTGACGTTGATGTCTCCATTGATCCCATCAGGCCGGAACATCGTCTGTGTCGCTCCGGTAGTGAACGACAACATTGCTTTCTTGTCCTTCAACAGAAAACACAAAAACACACTTTTTATCCAAAAAGCTGAGAGGAACCAGCTGCTAATATAATAATAATAATAAATAATGTTTGTATTTTAGTGTATATATTGAATTATTAGTGTTTCGACGCTGGTTCTAATCATGAAAACATACGTCAGAATTTAAAGAATTCCCATATTTTAAAGATGGAATAAAAAAGATAATCATGTCATCCTTGACATTGCAATTAAAATCTAATTACACATTTTTTAAATGTAATCTGGACTGATGATAGTTACTGATGTATTTACGCTTATATGTAATCCATTACTCCATAAGCCTGTTTATCATCATGCTTACTTTACTTAATCATTTTCTCTCCTCCTTTTAAAGAGATGTGTCGTCCAGCTAAGAGAGACTGACCTTGAATATACCGTTATTGTACATCTTTTGCAGGGAGAAAGCGAAGCCTTGTGTGAGCACTCGATCCATCCATCCCTTCATGATGGCAGGAACACTGAACCAGTACAACGGAAACTGCAAGAAGAGACGCATCAACATGTCACACTGATACTGTACATGTTATTTAACGACAACATAATTTAATTCATTTGTAAGGAACAGAGCCAGAGTTAGAATTACAGGAGTAAGGAGTTTAGCCAGGTTAGCTGTAGCTCTGAGGTCTGTTTAACAACTAATGGACTTTGGTGACCAATCTGATGTTTTTGTTGCAAGTCTCAACCCACAATAACAGCAAACAGGACAAAAACTAGCTTTGTGAGTGACCTCTGACCTGGAAGATGATGAGCTCGGCCTCCTGTACTTTGCGCTGCTCGGCTACGATGTCGTCACTGAGGCGGCCCTCCATCCAGGCCTGCATGGTCTCATCTCCGTACTGGAAAAGCTCTGGATTTTTCAGATCACCTGAACACAACACACTCGGTCATAACTTAAAGGATAACTCTGTGAGCAGATACATTCAGTGTCGGGTTTAGTCTCTTCATCTTCTTCCTCTGTGCCACAGAGCTTATAAAGTTTATTAGAGCTTGAATTAGTTTTCTGCTCACTGAATAATGTACATTAACAGCGAGGTCACCGATGATGTCGTCCTGCGTGGCGTTGGCTCTGAAGTTCATGGCGTACAGGTCGGACACGATGACCCTGTAGCCCTGCTCCACCAGCTCCTGCGTCGCTACATCACGCACCGCCGCGTTGAACGAACCCGGACTCTGGTGGGCGTACACGATCAGGGCCGTCTTCTGTGCTGTCACACACACACACACACACACACACACACACACACACACACACACACACGCGAAGTACTACAAGACTTTACAGAAACTTTGAACTCTGGTGACAAAAAGTGTACACTGTTAAAATTAGCAGGACTTGCTAATCCAGAAATCTTTGAGCTCTTATACCAAATGTCTTCTTAAACACAGACAAACATAGTACAAGATGTTTGGACTTTTAAAGAGAAAGTTAGTTATTAAGTGTTACACTCACTCAAAGTTAATTCATTTAAGTTTTTATAGGCAAATTTTAGTCTAAATGACAGGCTCTAAGTTCAATGGAAAAAGAAATTAAACGAAGATTTGGAAATAAACTCTAAAATATTTGTGCCACAGTAATAATGTTTAAGCAACTTTAAGCAAATATCGACACAAAGTACAGCTGAGGCTGATGGGAATGTCAAAGCTCTGGACAAAATAAAATGTTGACCTGATGGTGGTCTGTTACAGTAAAAAATGATTAGCTAATGTTTTATAGATTGTTATAATCTGTTATTTAGAACTTTTGTCAGGTTGCAAAAACATTCTGGTTGTTGTTTCTCTGTTTCATTGATAAAGATCTGACTGTTAATCAATTCTACAAATGATAACAAGGTCCCTGATAAAAGCTCACGGGTTTCACACTTTCTGATAAGACAACAGGTTTGTCTGCTGTTATAAAGAAATCTATAATTAAATGTAAGGAGCTGAACATGAGTAATAAACAATCAATTCTCCACTTTAATAATGTTTTTACTTTATATGAAGTCTGCAGATGTGAATGTTAATAAAATAAGGACATAATTATTGTTGTACATGGAGAGAATGACAATAAATTCTACCTTGAACCTTAAATTGTTATTTAATTTTACTCCAGATACATTAAAGTTATTATAAACCCCATAAATAATTAATACATGTTTATTAGAAGGTGGTGTTATTTCTTGTTTTTCATAATATTTAAAAAACCCAAACTTTACAATGAAAAAATAGGTTTGAAATAAACTTCTGTCATTGAGCAGCAACAAGTTTAATAGTTAATAGTTAAAGCAACAAGTAACTTTTGAAGGAGAACACAAGCTCTGTTATCTCAAAGACAGCTGGCATTACTTTAAGATAATCAATGCTGTGATCTTTTATAAAGCAAATAATAAAGCAGCATGAATAACAGAGTCTCTTTGTGGATGCTCCACCTGATACACAGCCGAATTATAGATAATAGTTGACATTGAAAGAAAGAGACAAGGTGAAACATAAATGAAACAGGGCTGCAAATACAATACCTCAATACCTTTTATTTATATTGTTTATGCTTTTATACAGTTTAAGATTGTTGTTTATATATTTATAGCTATTATTTTATGTATTTGTACCAATTCAAATATGTAGTTATATACATATAGTTTCAGTCAGTATAGTTATCAACACAGATTGATAGAAATAGTTTTACTTAGATGTGCATAAATCTAAATTTTAGCTTTTTGTTTACCAACTTTCTGAACCTAAATGGCTCCAAAAACTGACCAAAACCTGTACAGAGTTTGGTGTGTGTCAGAAAGAGTTGTGTGTCAGAGCAGCAGCATTTATATTCATTATATAAACACTTAAATGTTTGTTTTTTAACACATTATAAGGTAGTTGCAGATTGTCAACACAGATTGATAAAAAATAGTTTTACTTGGATGCACAAAATCTAAATGTTTGCTATTTGTTTACCAACTTTCTGAACTTAAATGTCTCCAAAAACGGAGCAAAATCTGTACAGAGTTTGGTTTGTGTGTCAGAGCAGCAGCAGCAGAAGAGAACCAGATTTATAGGAAGTGGAAACAACAAACGAGTCTTACCCATGCTTTGTGTCTGCTGGATCCGTCTGGACCTGGTGTCTGCTGGCACCGCGTTTCTTATAGACCCTGGGACTTTCTGTGCGTGAGAAACATGGTTAGATCGGATATCAGATGGAACAAAATGTGTCTGTAAGTCACAACTACACACTGAAGGAAGTACGAAAAAAAATAGTCAGCTGTCAAACTGTAGAACCGGTTTAGTGTTGGTGGAAGGTGGAGTGTGTGTGTGTGTGTGTGTGTGTGTGTGTGTGTGTGTGTGTGTGTGTGTGTGTGTGTGAGAGAGTCAGGCTGTGGGTTCACTGGTGCAGGTGAATCAGATTGGTTTCATTTGGCCTGGAAAAGAATGTTTGGGTCACTTTCAAGGGATTATCCGACAGGGTCATGTGGCTTCATAAACTCTTTAATCCGACTTAATTTCACCTCGTTAGAAGAAAAGTGGAGGAAGGCGTCAGTTTAGTAAAGCCTGAGCTGTTCGGTCCAGTCCCCGAGTTTAACGTCACCTGTCACCAGTTTTTCTCTCCTAACAGGCTTTTATGTTGGAGGAGGTGAGAAAAGTTTTCACACACAATCTTACCACAGGGTATTAAAACTAATAATTTATATGTGATGAATCTGTGTATATGACAGAAACATGTTTCTTTGGAGATATGACACATTAAATATGAGATATTTAATGCTTTGTGATAGTGACATTACAACGAATTGCTGATTATGCAATATTTATGTGTTTGATTGATCAACGTCAACCTAAAGGTCATTTCTATAAATAGCTCCCTGCACAGATTAGTTTTATATTCGCTTTTTCTCATTAAAAATGTGTCCAAACTGCAGCTGACATGCTCTCAGTCGCTCTGAGGCAGCGTTACAATAGAAATAATTTAAGGTTATCTTGCAGCGGATCACGCCCGTCCTCAGCACGCCATCAGCACACCCTCAGCACGATGACACTCGATAGGCTGGAATGTGACAGGAATGTTACCTGGAGACTTTCTGTCACCCACTGATCACCTCAGCGCCCGAGCCTCGAGCTGCCTGCCCAAAGGGAAATGTTTTAGATGCTTTGCCTGCAGGTCAGAGGTCATTATGTAACAGCATCAACAGACTAGCCAGGTACAGCATTATAATCTTTCATTATAAAAAGCAAATATGCTGTTTTTCTGAATTAATTAGACACCTCCAGCACGCTCTTAGCCCCCCTGAGTCTAACCCATATCCTATAACCAGCCTCCAGGGCTCCAGTGAGTCCAGGCAGGGATCTCAGCCCTCTAAGCCTGACCCAAAGCTCCTAACACTGGGTCTCCAGCCTCCAGCAAGCTCCGGTGGACCCATGCAGGGCTCTGTGTCCCCTAACCTTTATCCTGGCAAAAAGTAATTAGTATGAGCCAGTAATCTACTTTTTATTTCACATTTTCTGTAGTGTATGTAGTTAGCTAGTTTTTAAATTTTTTTTTTTTTAAAAAGTGGTTAAGCTAACAAAATGCCAACTTCAACAGAAGTAGTCACACTCACACAGTGAACACGGTTAACATTACCTCTGCTGAACGTAAACAGGTTAGTGTTGTTATTGTGAGCATGCTGATGTTAGCATTTAGCTCAGAGCACTGCAGTGAACTCAGGACTGAATGTGTGTGCGTCCACACTGCCCTGTTTCTAGTTCACGCACTCTGACTTTGATTGTTTTTCAGTGTGTTCTGCAGGCCCAGCTGGTAATCCAGACAATGGAGCGGCCTGAGAGACACGCTGGAGGGAGTACACAGCAGAAAGTCTAATCCTATCGTGTTACTGGATCTCATTATTTCCCTCCAACATCATCAACTTTTATTCAAAGTGAAAACTGTGCCGGCGTCACAGTCAGTGTGTTCCTCCGAATCTATGTCACCTGTCACAGGAAAAAAATCTGGTCACCTGCACCGTAAAGTAAAAGAAAATAACAGATGAATCAGTAAATACCTGAAGAATAACTGAGTCCTGGTGATCTGCCTGAAATTACTGGAAATAATTTTACTGGCTACGTTTATTTTGAGGCATTATCTTGCTGTTGATTCCCCCAAACTCTCATGGCTGACATACTGTTCTGGACTCATTCATGTCCCATTAATCATTAATGCATGTTACTAACTTCACTTCTTCCCCGGAGTTCTTGTGCTTTCTCGTCTCGCAGGTTCTCATGGATCCTGGTGGAGCCTCCTGCCATGGTCCTGCCTGACTGCCATTGCTAATATCACTGATATTATTGTCATTATTATTATTATTAATATTATTATTACTAGTTACTATTGTTGTTGTTGTCACTGCTCATTGTCCCCCATCGTTGCTGTTGTCGTCGTCATCGTCTTCTTCATGTTCATCATCATCAGTCACTACTATTAGTGTAATTGTTGCTACTGTTGTTGCTGTGCACCTGTCTGTCTGTCTGTCTGTCTCTCTCTCTCTCTCTCTCTCTCTCTCTCTCTCTCTCTCACCCCAACTGGTCGAGACAGACGACCACCCACCTAGAGCCGGAGGATCTGTCCTAGGTTTCTGCCTTTTAACAGGCAGTGTTTCCTTGCCCTTGTCGCCAAGGTCTTGCTCATGGTGGTACTGTTGGGTCTCTGTAAATAATGTTATAAAGAGTTCGGTCTAGACCTGCTCTATTTGAAAAGTGTCCTGAGATAACTTCTGTTATGAATTGGCGATATACAAATAAAATTGAATTGAATTGAATTGAACATTCTCCACAAGGTAGGAGGAGAGTACACCATTCCCAGTGGTACTGCGTGGAGTGAACAGAGCAAGCAGGAGGCCCAGATGAAGGTTTGGCTGTCCTCCACCATCAGTGTTTCTAGCTCTAGCACCGGTGTGACAGTTTAACTGGTGATACTGAGGCAGTCGGGCGTAGGCGTGGCTTTTGAGGACCCATTTTTGTCTAGCCAGGAAATAAAAATTTGGACTACTTCGACACTATGACATTCATTTGTTGGTGACTTTTGAAACACTGCAATAAAAACACAAATTTTTGTGTCGGCTCCTCACTATGGAAATATAATCCCAAGAAAGGAAAGATTCCCTCCGGGTATCCTATATTGTAATCATACAATAGCTTTAATCTGGAACCAGTAGGTTCTAGTGCATGCAGGCTGGTGGCATGTCTGCCGCGTTTAAAATGTCTGGACCTCAGAAACCTGACAGCAGCATCATTCTGTCCTCGGTCCGTAAAGAAACTACAGTGGGTTAATTGTAAGAAGGTTGCTGGTAAAGATTATGTTTTGTAAATATTCTATATTTCTCGTGGGTGTTGTAGGGGTAAACTACAATTTTCTTTTGTACTGTTTTCCTGTTAGGTTAGGGTTAGTTAATGTCTTTAGTTTTTTTACTCTTACGTTCACTTAGGAATTAGTCAGCATTTTATTTTGAAGGAGTTTGTTGTTTTTAGCCTTGGTTCTCCCTAAAGTTTGTTGCTGGTCTTTGTTGCACTTTTTGGCTCAGGATTTGGTAAACCTGTGTTCTCTTTTGGTTTGGAGACCGGGAAGGGAAAGTTGTTACTCTTCGGGCCCTAAATACTGAGTTTCATTAGTTTTAGATACTTAGTCATTCTTTTGAGATAAGTAATTAATGTTGAGAGTTTCTCATTATAATGACAGAAATAAGCTTCCATACGACTCCAAAACCTTCTGACTGCTGATGCCTGAACTAATCACAGCTCAGGTGCGCCTCATTCAGTCATCTGCTCACCTGGGCAGAGCTGGAGGGAACAGAAACGCATACAGCCGTAACACAGTGAAATGTTTCTGGATTATATTTAACAAATATGTCATTAGATAATTTTATTATCTCTTATATTCATTTATTTAAAAAAAACAAGTTGGCTAACATCATTCACTTAAGGTGCAATGTGAAGGATTTAGTGGCCTCTTGCATTTATATTGTATTAATAGACACCGGATTATAACTTTCACGCTTGTTAGAGAGCTTGTTGAAGTGACACAGCGCCACCTGCTGGTACAAGAAGGGACTTGCTGCAAATGATTTCACCTCCTTTAATGGATAATTTACACTTTACTGTCTTAAAACAGTTCTTGTATATGAACTCGTAAACATAATCCCTTTTTTATAGTGACTTAAATGTAACTAATTTACTTAAATATTGTACTTAAATACACATTTTGAATACTTTTCTTAGTTTTAGAGGTAACTTTTTACTTCACTACATTTATCTGATAGTTTTCACATTAAGATTTTTGCACAATAAACATATGAAGAGTTTATAAAGTGATGTTTTTGTAAGAAATTAAACGACCCTACAGTTGAAATAGTAGTCCATAAATCAATTAAACTATTCTGATTATCGTTTAGGGTATTTTTCATGTAAAAAGATTTGTTGCTTTTCCTTTTAAACTTATTTTGATATTTTTAATTTATTTGTAACTGTTCCAAACAATCAATTATTTAATGGGGAAAATAATCAGCAGATAAATCAATAATAATAATCACTAGTTGACGTCTGATATAAAACAGTTCAAAATGAGCTCAGCCAACTACAACAGTAAAATCAGGTTTGTTTACTCCAGAAACAGCCAGAAAAAATTCCCTCAGGTAAAAATGATAACAGAAAGACTGAAGCCACAAAAGTTGTTAAACAAACAAACCTTCCCCGGTTAAAGCTGAAGAAGGAGCCTGCAGATGTGAACACAAACCCTGTCGAGGATCTACAGATCATTACACACACAACAAACACTGCGTAGACAAACTGACTCAAAACTCTCGAACAGCAGTTTTTCACTAAAATGAGGAAATAAATGTTTTGCGCTCAATGACTTTGGTGTCTCAGAGCTTCAGCTGAAGTTACTGTCTCATCAGTGTCTGTAAATCCTAAATTCTAGATAATATCAGGACAATGTAGGAATGAAAACAAAGGGGAATAGTCATGTTCTCCTCTGGAAACTCTTACTGACGTCATCTGTCTGTTATTAACTGAGCAGTTTGGATATCACTGTCCTAATTAAAATAAATGTTTCATAGGTTAAAACTCACAAAAGTATACTTAGATTCTTAATTATATTTAAACTTTCTACACATGAAACAATCAGAAATACTGCTTTAATGTAGTAAGACATTAAATTAGATTAGACACTCTGACTGCAGTTAATGCTCGACCTGTAAGACAGAGTGCAGGATCTCTATTTTTGGGGGTCACAGGTCAAATAATTGGTCCTGATTTTAAAGCCATGAAAATTACTCAGAGAATACATATTTAATAAGCACATAACCACCTTTCTAACTATAAAGCATTTGGCTGGACAGTCACTGTGAGTGTAGTTACTGCAGTTCGCCACTGGGGGCAGCACAGACTACGACGGACAGTCCGGACTGCAGAGAGGATCGTTGGTGCCAACCTGCCGTCCATTCAGGACCCATACTGGTCCAGAGTCAGGAAACGGGGGGCAGGAAACATCACTGCAGATCCATCACATCCTGGACACAACCTGTTCCAACTCCTCCCCTCTGGTAGGCGCTGTACGCCAAAACAAACAGGCACAGGAACAGTTTCTACCCACAAACCATCACTCTGACCAACAGTTAACTCCAGACTCACAGTGACAACATCCGCACAATAACCTTGGGTGCAACGATAACGGATAATTCCTGCTTCTCTTGGCCGATAATCAATAACTGTAAATCTGTAAGAAAGGTTTTTGGTGTAATGAGCAAAGATGGATGATTTTAATATAATATTGTAACCAAATCTAACTGACGCCACTGTTATTGTTTACAAAAACAACAACAACAACAACAACAACGGATCCTTCTTTTTTATAGTAAAGTTCATTGAAAAAACTTTCATAGAGCATAAAAGTCTTTTTACATTCAATTCAAAATAATTGTAATTTAATTATCCCAATAATTCATAATAATATAAATTATAAATATATTGTGTAACATCTGTATCTGTAAACTATTCACTTTTTTTTCATCGTTCAATTCAGTTTTTAAAACATAAATTCAAACACATCAAGCTGTGCTTATTGTTGATATAATATCAAACTACCTCCATGTAAGTAAAAATACCTGCAGTATTTGTACTTTAAATACAAATTTTAAATGCTTGTACTGTATTTTTCTTTTTCATTTTAGAGATAAATTTACTTTTTTACTTTTACAAATGTTTGTGTGTGTGTGTGTGTGTGTGTGTGTGTGTGTGTGACAGCACAGAAGACGGCCCTGATCGTGTACGCCCACCAGAGTCCAGGTTCGTCCAACGCGGCGGTGCGTGATGTAGCGACGCAGGAGCTGGTGGAGCAGGGCTACAGGGTCATCGTGTCCGACCTGTACGCCATGAACTTCTGAGCCAACGCCACGCAGGACGACATCATCGGTGACCTCGCTGTTAATGTACATTATTCGATTTTGTTGTTTTATGTTTATACTGTGTTTGTACCTTGAGAGCAACGTGTGCACATGTATGAATATGTAATAAATGTAATGAGGAAAGGTGGATGCTTCTATATACAACAGCTCTTATCTAATCTAGACAGCAGATATGTTCATTGTTTCCAGAAGGAAATCACCACCCTCCATCTCTGACCTTCGTAAAAGGAACTGGCATTAAATTTATTCAACAGTATAAATATCTTTGGGGGACAGTCATTAACTTGAAATTGCAAGAACAATGTTTGTACTTCCCGAGGAAGTTACATGTCTTTAATGTATCTGCAAGAGACCAGGTCCCTCCCAGACCATTAAAAACCACCTGCTGGACCTTGAGTTTGAAACTTTTCCTTCAGGCCGTAGAGCTGGAGAACAAGGGTTGAGGTGCAATAAGAGTAAAATCTCCTTTGTTCCTGTAGTAGGTCTCTCTGCAACCGTGGGTTCCCCCAACACACACATTTATTAATTGCTTATCCGCACATACCGTCAACACACATATGCAGCTTTCTGGCTATTTCTAATTCTTCTTTAACCCTCTTCCAAGGTCGATTAACGCCAGACGTCCTCTCGGGTCTGAGAGAGTGATTACTGAATGAGCAGCAGCTGAGACCATCAGCTCACCCGGTGCTGCTCTCACAACCCGTCCACACACCTCTTTCTCTCTCTCCTGCAGCTGTCAAACCACACCCACCTCCACAGTTACCTTTGCTTAATTTTGCACATTTAAATTTTAGCCTCTTGCACTATTTTTTGCATTGTTGTTGTTGTTGTTGTTGTTGTTGTGTTTATGGTTTACTGTATAATCTATGCACAGGAATCAAATGTTTTTTTAGCTGCAAATCAAGTTTCCCTTGTGGGATAATAAAAAATGACATAAACAACAATTCTGACTCTTCAGTTTGTCAAAAAACGTCACAAACATACTGGTTTTCAATAAAGCCTATTAAAACGTGATAATGGTATTTAATAGCATCTACACTGTTGTTCTTAAGCTCCTGTACACCCTAAAGTTGATGTATCTGTATCACCGGTTCTGGATTATGTGTCTTTAGAAAGAATTCGTTCTGGTTTCACCATATTTAAGAAAAAAGAACAGGGGGGGGTTTCCCCAGTGAGCCCTGCAGCCGTCTGTTAAGGTTACGGAGGGTGTTGTGGTCACATTACCGGACTATAATGTTACAACCAAGACACTAAAGGAGACACAATACAAACATTACGTACTGAAGGATTTATTTAGAGTCACCTGCCTAGTTTGACAGTTTGATCTGAGTTTGGTGTGTTGAGCTGGACGGACTCACTGAGAATGAGCTGTCAATCACAAGGTAGCCCCGCCCTAAAGCATACCCTGCTTTATGGTCTGTTTTACTCTAAATGGGAGCATCAGTTACTAAATGAACATCATGCTGTATGGAAGAAGACGGAAACTAGAGACTGAGACCAGAAACTCATCAGGAAACTGTTTACTGAGCTCATACATCAACTGAGAAGTCGACTAATTTCTCCATAAGACTGAATGGTATCTGTGTGTTATTGCAACCAGTGGAGCCGCCCCCTGCTGGTTGTTACTGAGAATGCAGGTTTAAGACACTTCACAGACCCAGAAGCTCCATTATATAAACTGTTAACAACAATGTCACTGATTTTGGTAAAACTGGATCATATTTTATGGAGGAAGTGTTTTTCTTCTGATGCTCCGCTCGTTATTTATAAATACATAAATAAAAAATCTAACAAACTAAAGTTATAATAAAAGTGAGAAACTGAAATGTGAAACTCCTGAAAGCTTTTGTGCATCAGTGTCAGTTTCACGCATTCAAACTCAGTATAATGTATAATGCTTCCAGCAATGGAGGCAAACCCAAATACATAGACACGCAGGTAAACTGAAACTCACCTGCAGTCTCTGGCAGTCTGTCGTTCGTCCTTCTCCGGTTGGTCAGCTGTTGTATCTCCAGAAGATTCCTGTGGATTCATGAAAACTAACCGGGTAAGAAACTGATTAACTACTGTTTACACTTTTCCTGCTAATATTTGGTATCCCTTGATACTAATGTGGTCCAATGCACCAGTTAAAGTAATATATAACAGCTGCCTGACTCATCATGTAAAGCATGAATCAATGATGAGTGTATTAATGTGTCTGAGTATGTTTTCTGCTTGACACAACAGTCAGAGACAATTTCTGGTGACTACAGTCTCCTGACATCAGATTTATTCTAAAAATATAAGCAAAACCAAAACAAAGGCTCTTGGTTGATGTAGAAACATGTTTGTATCTGATATGAACACAAAACCTAATAAAAGAAGTAAGTTAGTATAGCTTAACAAAGATTCAGTCACTCATTCACGTGAATTAAATCAACTCAAAAATAAACTGTTGAAGTAACTCTGTTGTTTTAAATGTGCAGTATTTTAAGTTTTGGTGATTTAATTCCAGTTTGTTCCATTAAGTTGACTTTATGATTATAAATAAGCCTCAAAGCCGCCAAAATTAATTGGCTACCATGTTGATTAAATGATTAATTGTACACTGTAAGTACTACTTAAAGTAAAATGAAGGCAGCAGATTACAAACAATGTTATTAATTAAATATATCAATTTAATATAACTATGTTTGGAGTAAATATTAATTAAATCAGACACTTTGTAGTTACACATTCAATGTGAGTGGATTCAAAGAGAAAACACAAAATAATTCAAATTTAAACAAAAATATTGAGTTGATGTGAAAAACTTGGTGGTAACTACAGGTTGGATTCACTCAATATTCTCTCTATTTATGATTAAATAAACTGAATGCTTATGTTTTATTTTACTAGAATAAGTTAATTTTATTCCAAACTTTAAATTGATTTGACTAAACCAAGGACACAATTAATTTAATAGATTCATTAAATTAAATTCATTCAATTCATTATTTAAAATCTGAATGACCACAGAATCATTTATTACAGAGTAAATAGTTTTTTTAATCTAATTTCTGCTGTTTTTACAAGTAATTTAATAATTTAATGTAATGGAAGAAAACATCTGTAACGCAACGTCGCTTATTGGTGTTGTATTTTTAATTTTAACTTTATTTTAGGTAGAAAGACTGAGAAAAACCCCATGAAATTCAAATATATTGTAGAATGTAAGGTGACACTGCATGCTTACAGAGGACAGTTTGACGACAGCGGTACCGAGGTGATTTATAGAGTTTCGCGATGGACTTATTGCTAAGAGAGGCTAACTGTCGCTAACAGTACTGGCGCCAAGTCCCTCCCTAAATGCCGATGGTTTCACAGGAAATAAGCAAATATGTGTAAACAAGTAGCTCTCTGACTCTTGCTTCATGTGGACTAGAGTTTCGACTTCTTGCAGCAGGCGAGCGTGAGAGACAGACAAAGAGACAGTCCGATGGTTTAATGCTGAAGACACAAACAAGCTGACAGGCAGACAGGTAGGTCGACAGGCAGGTTCAGGTGACAATGATCTGACAGCTGACTGGGGAACGGCGGCTGGTTGCAGGGCAGGTGAGGAAGTCTGAAGGCATCTGAACAGGTAACTAATAACAGCGAAGGGGTCGGGGGGGAAGTGTAAATGTGTCTGAATACGACGGAGAGGCAGAATGAGCAGGAATCCACAGAGAGGCTGAGACATAACTTAATTAAACTGATGAGAAGTCAGACTGTTTCACTCTGAAAATGCCCAGTTAGCATCAGTAGGTTCAAACAGGTACGGCAGGTTTCTCTAAAGGAATGAATGACACTAATGTTTGACTGCGTTGTTCCTTTCTGGCTGCACGTGTACAGATTCTTTAAGGTTGAATTGTATACTGTCAACATCCTGAAAAGAGTTCACACAATCTATCACTACCAGAAGGGCTGTTCCATGAAACCAAGATATCGGATTAAACCGGATTGTCCAGTTATGTCTTCATTAATCCTGGTGCTTCATCCATTCAACAGCAGTCACTGCAATCAGAAACTAATGTGGTTATTACACTTATTTCATGTTCTTATGTGTTTTTGCATTAAAATATCACAGGTAGGATTTTTATTTACTCATGTGATGGTTTTACTTTTATGTTGTGTTTATCAAGAATATATATATAAAGACCTTTGATATTAAAAGTTAATAATAATGAATAATAAAGTTAACTTACTCTTAAATGTTCCAAACTTTGTTCTAAATTTACTTCATAAAGTCACATATGAACCTCCACAGCTCACTTTTAAGGCAAATGTACTGATATCAGTGATCAACTCGACGCAGTGCGTTATAAACAACAGGAGTTTGAAGCCAACTAAAGACATTTAGAAACACTGTTAAAAGAAGATTAAATCATTAAAACAATAAGCTTGTTAATTCCACCTAAAATCCATTTATTAGGTCTTATTGTTAAAGTATTTAGCGTGTGCTTTTTAATAAACATACAGCAAAGTTGTGATTTATCAAACGTGTATCTCTTCGAAATGGCTGCTTTACTTGTTCAAGAAAACACGAGGCGATGCAGGAATAGCAGTAAAAATTCTCAGAAACTTTCATTTCTGCAAAATTTTTTACTCTTATAACGATTTATAGATGAGACCTTCTGTTAACTTGTCTTTTTTTAAAAGTGGCTCCCTAGAAAAAAGTTTGGGAAACACTCTTTTTCACTATTTTCATTGGCCCACTGTTGTATTGTCCCGAACTGAGTATTTAGTTCTTTGTTGGTTGAACTTTTATTGAACACTGACTGTAAAATAATTAAATGTGGAATTCAGATTCTTGTTTGTTTTGTATCTTTCTAATCTTTAAAAAATTCAACATCCTCCAGTGTCACTGCGATGGCTGACCTCTTATTCTTTATTTGTATTATCCAGAGTGAAGACGTCCAGCAGGACAAAACAATGATCCAAAAGAGACTCATTCAGTTTTTATTCTTGGTTGTTCTCATATTACTGATCTTTCTCGATGTTGATTTGAGGCACCTCGCATTCACCTGGATTCCCAAGATAATCAGCAACGCTACAGGTGCTTCCCAGGTTTCTGAGATCGAGAACATCTCAACGCCTGAGCCACCAACGCCGGTTCCTTATGTGTCTCCGGGGCTGTACTTAGTGGAATACCCCTACAAGTACCGCTTCCTAATAAATGAGCCAAAGAAATGTGAGGAGCAGAAGCCGTTCCTGGTTCTGATGGTCCCTGTGGCACCCCACAACAGGGCACATCGTCACATCATCCGCAGCACCTGGGGAGGCGAGAGCTCGGTACAGGGCAAAGTGGTGAAGCTGTTCTTCCTGCTGGGGCTGCAGGCCGGAGAGGGAGCAGAGCGGCTCCAAGGGCAGCTGCTGCAGGAGAGCAAAGAGCATCAAGACCTGATCCAGAGCGACTTCCTGGACTGCTACAAGAACCTGACCATCAAAACCATGGTGATGCTGGAGTGGCTGGACTCCCACTGCTCCGGCGCCTCTTATGCCATGAAGATCGACTCAGACATGTTTCTGAATGTGCCCAATCTCGTCGGCATGCTGGTAAACGCTCCAAAGACAAACTACATGACGGGACTCGTGGCGAGAGGCAGCGCAGTGCTGAGAGATAGAAAGTCTAAGTGGTACGTACCTGTGGAGATTTACTCTCACTCACAGTACCCACGTTACGCTCTGGGTCTGGGCTACGTCCTGTCTCTAGACCTCCCTAAAAAGCTGGTGGAGGCATCCAGACACGTTAAAGCTCTTTACATTGAAGACGTGTATTTGGGGTTGTGTATGGAGTACTTGGGCATCCCTCCCACCGACCCCCCGAGCTGGGGTTACTTTAACGTCTTTCCTGTGCCGTACAGCCGCTGCGGGTACTCCAGGCTAATAGCCACCACGACACCGGAAAATAATGTTAATCCTTTATGGGTTTGGAAAGACTTTAAAAGACCTGGTCTGCACTGCGTTAACGGACAGATTCACACCTAACCTGTTCAGACTCTGGGAATCCGATACGGTGAACATTGAACACTTTAAGGACATTAAAGTTACTAGAATCAATAAAATAAACAGCTCTGCATTGCTTTAGAAAACGAAACACCTGCATCGAAGCTGTTTCTTTATGTTTTACATAATAAAGTATAAAATAATCTCACTGTTTGCCTCGACATATTAGGCGTAGATTACGTTAATTAATTTCTGTTGTTTGTTACACTTGCAGTGGCGTGTTGTGTGCTGTCAAGTTGACATTCATCAGTTAATGCTGTTTTATTTGAGTTTTCCTTCCCTCATTTACTTATATTTAAATATTTTCTTATTTAGGACGATAATTTGAAGGATCGTTATGGGCTAAATTAATGATACTGTTAACAGGAAAGGAGGTGATGGGTCAGAATATGTGACTTTTATAATAAATAATTAATTTATAACCAAAGTTAATTAGAAGATGAGTTGACAATGTGTGTGAATACCTAAACACAAAGACAACAGTCTTAAATTATATTTCTATTGGTGTTAAATTGAGAAACAAAATAAAATGAACTGTAGTTCAATTCGGTTTGACCCAGATATTTATGTTTCATGCTCATTTGAGACTTTTTTCAATATTATTGCATTATTTACAGGTTATTTTTATTATATTAGATTATTCATTGTTCTATTTTTACACTGATGACAGGACTTAATAAAACCTCAGAAAACAGAAATCAGAGAGCTGTTTGCTTCTAGAGTTAGTGAAGGACAACCGTGGGACTTTTCTATCATTCAGTAAACTAACTGACATATTTTATGGATATTTCATTTTATAATCAGTGTTTAACAATAACAGCAGATAAACTGAACAATGAACCCAAACAGCGAACAATACCTGCAAGTAATGTGTATGAAATTTTTTATGAGTTTTAAACAGATTATTTCCAGTTTTACAAACTTTTTATACAATTATCAGTTTTATGTAGTGCTGTCAAACGATTAAAATATTTAATCGCGATTAATCGCATTAATATCATAGTTTAATCGCAATTAATTGCACATTTTTATCTATTCTAAATGTCCCTTGATTTCTTTTTGTCCCATTATATTTCTCATTTTAATCCTCTTATCAACATGGAAAAGTGGATCGGCTTGCTTTGTGCAAATGTTGTTTTTATTGAATAATCATCCATTGTCGCCTGGTTCGCCTCAGTTCACAACGACAAAACACACAGATCACTTTGGGCTTGTCAATGGAACCATTTGGCAACTTTTAAAAGTAAACTTTCCATTCAGAATATTATTGGCATCCATTTCGGCGTCTCGTGCTCGCCATCCACTCAAAACGTAATGTCTACTACTCTTAAACAAGTGTGTGTGGTGTGCCTGTTGTTTTGTTTCCGGTCTAGCTAGATCCGGTGTGGTGTTGTAGTTTTTATAACGTTACTAGTTGTTGCAACAGCATGTGGAAAAAACTACAAAGTGTGCTAGGCCAAAAAGAACGTTAATCTTGCGATAAAAAAATTGACGCTGTTAAAATGGGTTTGCGTTAACGCCGTTAATAACGCGGTTAACTGACAGCACTAGTTTTATGTATTAATTTATTTTTTAACAATGATTTCTTTTCTGATAAATTCAGTGTTTTCTTCTCCCTGACGTTTGTTCTTTTAGCTCTTTGGTTGTGTATCTTTTGTAACGCAGTATGACGAGATATCGGCCAAATGTGTATATTTTTAAAGTTTTCCTACAATCCTTAAAATCCTGAAGGCCTCGATAACCCGGTTGAAAAAAATAAATATTGACCATGAGGGTAGAGGCTGTGAGGGATTGAGTTTTTAAATTTAGCAGTCACTTGAGCATGGCTTCAAACCCCCGCCTTAGTGTCACATCACTGTTGTTAAGTATCTATGAGAACCAAACAAATAAAGAGTGACCTACAACCACAGAAAATCTGTTTTATTGGTTAGAATAGGAAACTGAGTAATGGCCTAGAAAATGCTTTGGGTCATTATTTGCACTCACTGAACTATTCTTGCACTTCTCCTTCGTCCGTCACATTTTTCTGCTGAACAGAGAGCTCATCTTTAATTCTGGAGGGCGTTTAAGTAATTGCAGCGTTTCTGAGGAAATATCATTACAGTGTAATTATATACACTTACTGACACATCAGATCAACAAACGATTTAAATATAGTTGGGAAATGTTGTGTGGGAGCATTTTTATCTTATAATGTATCAAGCTGTGTCTTGTGATAATAGTGAATTGATTAATTGCTGTTTATGCTGTTTTTATTTGTCATGGGGACAAAATGCTTTTTAAATGATTAATTATTTTTCATTATCTGAGCGCAGGAACACAACTTCACCACTAGATGCCACTAAATCCTTCACACTGGTCCTTTGAATCTGGAGAACAAGGGCGTCTTCTGCTACAGTGCCTTATTATAACGCTGTTTGTCTCATATTTTACAGATTTAATCATTTATTGTGATTAATTCTGCAGCCAGACTCTCAGAATGACTGATCTGTCTGGGTTCACTCTGGTAAAATTGTTCTGGTTTGATCCCTTTCAATCAGTTGCACCTACAAAAGTTTAAATAAATCTAAATTAAAGTACATTTTTTGCAGTTTAATTAATTTCCTCAAAAGTATATATGGAATTGATAAACATACACCTGTTATTTCATATAAAAATACGTAATCAGGACAAAAAAAAGAAACTGTAATCCTATAGTTACTGAAAAAAGACTCAGAATCAGAATTAGAATTAGGTTTAAGTAAGTAAGTAAGTTTTTACACATACGAGGAATTAGTCTTGGTGCATAAAAATATACACATCACACAAAAATAAAGCACTTTTAAGACATAAATAAATAAAGATAAGAAAACTGTGCAGAAGACGGGGGTGCATTAATGTAATCCATATATACAGTGTGGATTTAAGAGTCAGTCTCACAGGGGATCCGGGCCTTGTTAAGGAGGCCAGCTGCAGACGGGAAGAAACTGTTTTTGTGGCGAGAGGTTTTGGTCCTGATGGACTGCAGCCTCCTGCCAGAGGGGAGTGGTTCAAAGAGTTTGTGGGAGGGGTCAGCCACAATCTTGCCTGCACGCCTAAGGGTCCTAGAGACGTACAGGTCCTGGAGGGATGGCAGGTTGCAGCCGATCACCTTCTCAGCAGATCGAATGATATGCTGCAGTCTGCCCTTGTCCTTGGCAGTGGCAGCAGCGTACCAGATGGTGATGGAAGAGGGGAGGATGGACTCAATGATGGCGGTGTAGAAGTGCACCATCATCGTCTTTGGCAGGTTGAACTTCCTCAGTTGCTGCAGGAAGTACATCCTCTGCTGGGCTTTCTTGGTGAGGGAGCTGATGTTCAATTCAATTCAGTTCAATTCAATTCAATTTTATTTGTAAAGCATCAATTCATAACAGAAGTTATTTCAGAACACTTTTCAAATAAAGCAGGTCTAGACCGAACTCCTTATAACATTATTTACAGAGACCCAACAGTACCACCATGAGCAAGACCTTGGCGATGGGGGCAAGGAAAAACTGCCTGTTAAGAGGCAGAAACCTAGGACAGATCCTTCGGCTCTAGGTGGGTGGTCGTCTGTCTCAACCAGTTGGGGTGAGAGAGAGAGAGACAGAGAGAGAGAGAGACAGACAGACAGACAGACAGTTGCACAGCAACAACAGTAGCATCAACTACACTAATAGTAGTGACTGATGATGATGAACATGACAACAGCAACGATGGGAGACAATGAGCAGTGACAACAGCGATTAGTAGTGCAGCAATGTGTTTGAATCACTTTCATTTAATTTAATTTAGAAAAGATGATGGTGACAAACGTTTACAGCTGTTTTATTACCACACAGACGAAGATATAAATTCCTGTATCTATTATTTTATTTTGAAAGTACACCCCTTTAAACCCTTGCAACCTGCAGTGAAGCTTTGGCGAACCCCCATTTTACCACATAGTGTTTGTGTGGTTGTAGAGGTGGGTGTGGTTTACACTCAACTGCAGGAGAGCGAGAGAGAGAGGTGTGATTATCTTAGCTGGGGCTCATTGAGTAATCACTCTCTCCTCTCTTAATGCAGTAGTGTGCTGGACCTGAATTGGCTGCCACAGACACATGAGAAAGGACTTTTAAACAGGGATCAAAAAGCCTCTGATAAGCCAGAAAGCAGAGTTTGTATGTGTTAACGGTGTGTGCAACCGGAAGAGAATAAAAGTTGTGTTGACTATCTCACCTGTGATGGTAGTAGAGAGACCTGCTCCTGTGGAAAAGGTTAAAGACAACTCATAAGTGATGTAATGTGATTCCTTCTAACTTCTAACAATGAACACATTACATCACGTTGTTAATTTATGTGCAGTTACTTCCCTTCGTCTCCTGTTTTACTCAGTCATGTGTGAGTCATGCGAGAGGTTTCCCCCCCTCATCCTGCAGGTGATGGTTCGGGGGGGTGTGAGCTCAGTTGATCCCACCTTAGCAACCTGGACGCCAGCTTCCCTTTGATACCCACAAAGTCAGAAAACCGTATTTAAGGAAACACATTGTGAAAGTCTAATCTGACCTCACCCAAAACAACATTATGTGGTTTAATCAGCTGGCCTCAATCCCGAGTCAACTGAGTCACAGACTGTATCTTTGCTTCCAGTTTATGGAGCTATCAGATATGATTGTTTTAAACATATCAGACATCAGGGATTGCTTTTCATTACAATAAGCCACGCTTCCTTACGAACTCTCTCATCCTGGGACCCAGAAATGGTTCTTCCACAACTGGTTTATAATAGTATAATAAATGTTTTATCAGGTGGTGTGAAATACAACACCCCCACAAGTGGAACATAAGCTCTGTTTGTATGTTTGACATGAATGAAACCCTCACTGACTATATTAAAATCCAAAATTTGATTCTTCTTAAGTTTATTGTCACAGTTTTTACTCTGTAGTGTCTGTATGGAGATCTACACACAACAGAACACAGTTACATGCAGTGTAATGCACGGTCACGTTGTGTGTGTGATCAATAACAATTTACTGGATAATTTAAAAGTGTTGTGGCATCACAGAAAGAAGCAGTTTGTTATTTTATGTTATGCTTTTATTTTGCATTACGTTATTATTGTGCAGAAACAATAATTCAAGTAAATAAGCTACGTAACTGAAG